CCCCCTGGTGGACACTAGAGAGAATGCAGCTTTAAGACACATCAGCATTAGCTCGACTCAGCAGAATTGCCTGGTACATCATCAAAAAGATAAATAAATAAAAAGAACATAATGGATCCATCAATTGGTAGAAGAGTAAGTTAAACAAATTATGTTTAAAACAAGTTCAGTAAGGTAAATTATTATAACAGGTTTGATTTGTTAATCTTTTCCATTCATTTTACCAGATAATATGAATTAATATTATTTTATCTGACAGATGCACATGCTGACACTGTTTAAATTAGTTAAAGTTACTGTGAGAAACTTTTAACTGGTTATGACACCTGCAGTCAGGAGCTCAGCTCCTCCTCCACCGTACAGTGTGATATAATTATCAAAACAGAGGCTACCTGTCTACTCAAGCCCCCACCCTAAAGCAATGTGTTTCAGGTCAAACCTTCAACACCAACATGGACCAGAAGTCCTTCAAGTGCTCAGGAAAAATGGGATAGTTGAACATCTTCAGTTCCATCACAACAGAGGAACACACCATCTGCTGAAAGCTCCAGAACAGCTACTTCAGATTGAAGATCAAAACCTTACCTGACGAGGGGCAGGGGGTTTCCTGTGACTCTGCACTCCAGACGAATGGGGCTTCCCTCCGCCACCTCCTGGCTCTTCAGCTTCTGGAGGAAGCAGGGAGGAGACAGCGATCCGTATGCCGCCGGAGCTCCGGAGAGCTGAGACCCAGCGTTAGCCGGCGGACCCGTCGGGCTTCCGGGCTGAGGCTCCAGGCTCACGGTCTCCGCTTTCTGGCAGGGAGGCAGAGCGGGAGCGGAGGCCGAGCCCTGAGGGGCCGGTCGCCGACTCCTCGGAGTCAGGTAGCCGCTGTCGGGAGAGGACGAGTCCTCCTCCGCCTGCTGCTGCTCCAGGTGAGCAGAACCTTTGAAGATGGACGACAGCTCCTCGATGAACGTGGCGGCTCGGCTGCAGAACTCCGTGGCGGAACCGGCCCGATCGTTCAGCTCCAGGCCTTCGTGGACCAGCCGAGGTTTGTCTTGCTTGTAAACTGGCTGCATTGGTTTGCGGCGGGCGACCTTCTCGGCAGAGGCCGGAGCCTCAGCGGACACCTGTAGGGGTTTCTTTAGGGGGGCGTTCTGACTCGAGGAGACTTCAACTGCAGCACCCTCGGGGGGCACAGACAAGGGGGCTTTGGTCTGGTGCTGCACGTTTGGGCTTGTGTAGAGGTTTTCAGTAGGAAGGGAGGGGACAGGTTGGAGAGCCGGCTCCTGGGATGTGGGATTAGAAGATGGACCTGGATCTTCAGACTCCAACGTGTCGCCAAAGGCCTCCAGGGCCAGGTCCAGGCTGCGGTGTATCTCGTCTGCACTCAAGAAAGCAGTGAGATCTGCAAAGTCTCCGTCTCCAGAATCCAGCTCTGTCACCGAGTCCAGGTAGAGCTCCCCGTCGGAGGACGCCTCGGAAAACACCCCCCCATCGCCCTCCAAGGTCCCGCCTCTTGCCGGGTTCTTCAGCAGCTGAGAGACGGGGAGCGGCGGATTCCGACTCCCGTCCTGCATCCTGAAACACACATGGACCGTCATTTAACCGGACAATCACACAGTTTATAGATTAGTCAACGAGGTAACGGTCAGCAGGAAGCAAGAGCAGTCGAGCTTCAGATGTAGACGTCACAGAAAAAATACTGGACCTTAAATTCAAAAGTATCCCTGTGACACACAGATGAATGTAATCTCTGTATCTCATAGCAAACCTGCAAAAAGACATATTTTACGAGTCGATGACGTTAATTATCCAGTCCTGACATATAAACAGTTATGATGACAGACTCTCTCTGCACCTCCCTACGCTTGTATTTTGAATTTAATTTAATTCACCAAAAAGAGACAAAACAGTTAAAGATGAATTTGACTGATAGCATCATTTACATATTTTTGTTTTCAAATCCTCTTTAGATGTCGTGATGACACTCCTATAGATACAGTAGGTTATACTGAGGGATGTTATCACGTAATCCATACCCAACAATGTACATAGTGTACTCTACATGTACTCTGTATACTCTACATGTACTCTACATGTACTCTATATACTCTACATGTACTGTATGTACTCTACATGTACTCTATATACTCTACATGTACTGTATGTACTCTACATGTACTCTATATACTCTACATGTACTCTATGTACTCTACATACTCTACATGTACTGTATGTACTCTACATGTACTCTATATACTCTACATGTACTGTATGTACTCTACATGTACTCTATATACTCTACATGTACTCTATGTACTCTACATGTACTCTATATACTCTACATGTACTGTATGTACTCTACATGTACTCTATATACTCTACATGTACTCTACATGTACTCTATATACTCTACATGTACTGTATGTACTCTACATGTACTCTATGTACTAAAATAAGGTCACACTCAGTTTAAACGTCTCCTCAGCTTCTCCAGAAGTATTAGTATGTTGTGATCCTGTTGGTGAAGACACACGTATGACGCAGAGTGACACTCGGAGCCTCATGGCGTCCCGGAGACCAGCTGTTGTTATTTTTAATCCCCTGAGCTGTGTTTCAACAGCAGCAGCAGCAGCGAGCGCAGACCCCACCCATCCGGAGCTTAGAGAGGAGAGGTCCTTGAACCTCTCGCACAGGTACGACGGGATCGAACGCTCACAGTAAAACATTACACAGAAGAACCGACACGATGTCTCTCAAAAGAGAGCAACAACAACAGCACGGCGCTTATTAAATATTAATGTGGAAAACATTGCGACTGATCGTCTGTCTGTGCTGTCAAAGGTTCCACTAACTCTTATTATTTTCAAGATTTCTCACGTCTTACTAGGTTAACTTCAATATGTATTGTATCTTTTGTATCTATTTTCATAGTATTTGTTATATTTAACACAAATAAATTGAGAAAGAATCAACATGTAGACACCGTGTCTTCAGGGACTGATGCTGTCTATTAAGGCGACATTTAAAACAGCTCTACTGTTACTCTAAATAATGTAGCTCATACTCTTCTTCACAATCACTTAAGAACCAACCCAGTATTAATAAAAACGAACCTTGAATTGATCTGTTTGTCCAAATGCTTCCTCCTGGTTTTGTGGTTCCAGGTTCGTCCTGTTTATGAAGTCAGAAAAGAGACAAAAAGAGAAAAGAGCAGCCTTATCGGTGTGACGGTCGGCAGGATCTCTCCGGTTCAGGGTCCAATTGCGTACTGCCTCTGCAGTGGCCTGCTGTCCCATCTGTCCCGGTCCCTAACGGCTCGCTGTGTGGGGCTATATTTGGCCCGCGGCTCGGGTTTCACCGGCAGAATATTGGCAAGAAGAGAGAGTGTTAAGGTTAGTCCGGGGGGAACAGAAGGTAGCGGGGACATTAGTACAGAGACAAGTCTTCATTAATGAAACGCAATAAACGTTATGTCTGACACACACACAATACGCTTTTATACATTTTTACAATTGGGGTTTTAGGCAATAGAGGCTCTCAATGTGCATTGGACCCCTGTTACAACCACAAGTTTTGGGCAATGAAAAGATACCAAGCATCCTGCTGAATACGTCAGTAACTGGATGTTATTGTTTGTCTAATGAAGACGTTCAATGCGACACAGTGGAGGGACGGCAGCTTGTCCACTGTGTGCAGCTGAGTGGACGCCATGACCCCGGACCACCCACTGGTCTGTCCCTCCTAACGGTAAATTAGCTTAAAGGGGAACTACGCCCATTTTTACAAAACATGTTATTCCTATAATCTAAGACTGTCTCAAAGTATTAGTAACCATGAACAACTCTCTCCCAAGTCCAAAAACTAAACTCAAATATGTGATGTTAGACAATGAATTGTGAAAGATGTCATCGATGACACTCGTCGTGTTTCTATTCAATTGTCAAGTTTATTTTTGAAATGTGGCACAAAAAAATGTAAAGCGAATTAGGTGCATTTCAATCAACTGGTTTGGAGCAAATGAACTAGTTTAGTTTGGTTGTTGGCACCAGTAAACAAGAGTAGAAGAAGAAAGTCAAAGCTTCATGTGTTAAAGCTGCATTCTCTCTAGTGTCCACCAGGGGGCGACTCCTCTGGTTGTATAGAAGTCTATGAGAAAATGACTCTACTTCTCTCTTGATTTATTACCTCAGTAAACATTGTAAACATGAGTTTATGGTCTCAATCTCTAGTTTCAAGTCTTCTTCAATACAGCACGATGTTCATTTAGTACATTATGGTCCATTTAGAGTCAAACAGACCATAAAGCAGGGGATGCTTTAGGGCGGGGCTACACAGTGATTGACAGGTCTCTACCAGAGACGTATACGGCGTCTCTACGTCACTCCTCCTCAGTCCAGATATGGTCACTTCCTGTTCATCGCTTGCAAAACAAAACATGGCGATGGCTGTAATCCAAGATGGTGACGGCAAAATCAGCGAACTTGAAGCTTCATAACATCAGTCCACAAACCAATGGGTGACGTCACGACAGTCTGTGGGTATTTCCCATACGCCTCAGATTAGAGTGATTTGGCTCTTCTGGCTGTAAAAAGATGAATTATTCCCCAATTTATAAAGTGAGTTTGGTTTCCAGGACTGAACATCTGTAAGAGAGAGAAGCCTTTTGCATCATTGTAGAGAAACATTTTTGTATTTCATCAGTGCATTTACCCAGGGGAGTGAAATGGGACAATTTAGGAAGTAAAAAAGACAAAAACAATTAGCAAAATAAATACTTGGACCACACGTGTGTGTGTGTGTGTGTGTGTGTGTGTGTG